GAACACTAGATTTAAATAAAAACATCTTTTGGCTGATTTATAAGCCTTTTTAACTAGTAAGGACCAGTAAAATGTCTTCACTAGTGTGTTGGTAAAGTATTTCACAATATAAGTGAGGACGTTTGGTCCTCACAAGTATAGTCAAAACAAGTACACTTTAATAGACAAGCTACAGTCGGAGAGCACATCCCCAGAATAGCTTGATGTTTGAAATCAAACTAACACTACATTGCCCTCTTCTGGTGGCATATGTGAAACGGTCTGCAATAAACCTGATTTAATGTTAATTTGAGGTCTGTTTGTGGCATGTGATATATGAGAGCAGTTAACTTAAAATATTATACATAAAACATGAATAGAACCTTTGAACGATATGTTAATGATGCACACTGACATGAGATCACAACAGAACACTTGAAAGAGAAATGACATTGAACCAAGCTGTTTCTTTAAGTGGCTTTTATAATGTCAACACACTGTATGTTCAGACGTACAATAATAAGACTGCAATATTGGATGTAAAATTGTGTGACAAATCACATAAAAATAAACCTTCGATCTACACATCAGTTTTTCATGCATAATGGCTGTTCATGAAATGTCATGACGCATCATGAGACTGTCCAAAAGGCATTTTAATAGGTCACAAGCAATCATGTCTTCACAAACACTGTACCCTGCATAAAAGATAAATTCTTGATTGTCTTCAACACAGGAAAAGGGTGTCGCTGAATTAAACAGTTGCATAGCAACAAACCAAAATGTGAATGAACATGACAGCTGCTTACTAAATTGATTTGTTTAATCTCCGTTTCTATGAAAGTTTGAGAGATTAAACAAGCTACAAACTCAGAGAGAGAGAGAATAAAGTTAACAAAAATCAAATGAAAGCTGAAAATTGCAGGCACATACGTACAGTAACATGAGACAAATAAAAAGAACTTAATTCAATCAGTCGCAGCGTGACACTGACCTCTAGAGGATTTTTTAGACATTACAGTCTATAGGTAGTGAGGAGTTTGAGTTTTGTAAAAAAAAAAAAAAAAAAGTCTGCATCAGTTATAGGACAGATTTCACATATGCTTTGCCAGACAGTGATGTGAAAATTTGATGACTCGTTTAGACAAATAAAATGTTATCCTGACAGTTTAAAATATTAATATATGCTCTGGGTTCATATAGAATATACATAGAAATCATGTGAATGTTTTCTGGTTGCCTGAATTTTGTCTATATTGTTCAAAGACAAAAAAATTATATAAATAATCTGGGCTATGTCCGAAAGATGAAAAATGTGGCATACGGAGGTAGGAAGGCAAAAAGGCACATCTGAATCCAATGATTGTGTCACATCCTATCAACTGAGATTTCATCTGCTTATGATATCCCACTATTCTGTGTGCGCGATTCCATGACAGTTGAACTGAATTACATCTGAAAGGCAGTAGTGAGTTTGTGTATAAATGTAGGTTTCTGCCCAATATTGTGAGCTTTTTACTCATTTACTCAAAATATCCTAATTTTTGGGATATTATTATTAAATATCCCAAAAAAAAATTTTTTTTTTTTCATAATTTACTCACCCTCAAGTTGTTCCAAACCTGGATGAGTTTCTTTCTTCTGCTGAACACAAAATAAGTAAATGATGACAAAATGTTTTTATTTTTTGGGGGTGAATCACTTTAATTCCTAGCAAGAAATTGTTACTATGGTATTTAAATATTTGCTTGGTTAGCACCAAAGTTCTCGCTATTTTGTTGTAGATCATTAGGCTGTTATGCCACTTCAGAAGCCTGCTGAACTCAGTTTCAGGATGTACCTTAGAAACGCAAATGTTGCCTGAGAAGTCACTGGCTTATTGGCTTACAGCGAACGCAGCCCTGGTGTGTCTCGTGTGTTGAAATGACTTGAATGCCACCACAGAAACAGAAGAATGTCACAGAACACATTCTCTCCCACATGTACAAATGCCTAAATTTATAATAACATGCAGGCACATATGGTGGCTATAATTAAAGCAACATTTTTTTTCATGTTAAGGCATCAGTGATATATTTTTGCAAAACTATTACCTTAATTTGGAAACGTCGGCTATAGGGTTGGATTTCAACGCAGTATTAATGCAATTTAACTGATTCAATAAGTCCAAAATGCAACGACAGGACAGAGACCAAGACATTCTGAAGCCTTCCAGGAAGTCGTCGATGAGTGAAAAAGCAGACAAAACTGGTGATAAACCCACAGCTCTGTCGAAAATAACCTTGAAAGAGCATGATTTCAAAGTTCTGTTTGAAAAAAAGGACATTTTAAGGCCATGTTTAGTCATACTAAGCTGAAAAAGTGGCATGAACTTCACAGAGAATTTGTGAATATACAAGTTTCCTTTAAAACACATTTATAAAACAACAAAATATAAACTTTCGCATTTTGTTCAGGCTATTTCATATTTACAAGGAAGAAAAAAACATTAAAATATCAATAATTCAATAAATCAATATACAGGACAACACATGCATTCACAAATCGGCAGTAATGATGGATTCACTGTACATCAGTCTGTTAGTGTCAGCCAGCAGCACTGCTTGACTTGGGTCTATTTGCATAGTCTTCTGTGCCATATGTCCAAAAACTGGCATTGTGCCACCTGACACTGCTGTCATGGGTGTCAGTGTGACACAATGAGAAAGCAAAGGTGTATTGGCGTCATGATTGGAGCCTGTGGAGGGGACGCTGGTCACGTGACCAGTGCTGGTTGAGCCGCTGGCGCTGCTGGGTGACCGGCTCTTCGGCGGAGGGCCGTGCTGCACCATCTGTGGAGGGCCCTGAGTTGGAGCGAAATGGGCAGCAGAGAAGGCAGCATAGCCTGTTGGGATAGGGTATCCATTTACAGGTATAAAACGCTGGTTTTGAGGCATCGGCGCTGCCATGAAGCCCGCGATTTGTCCCGGTACAAGGCTCTGTGGAGGTCCGTAGATGTATCCGGCATAGCGCGGGCTGCTGAGGTTGCTGACGGGGCTGGCGCTCAGAGAGGTAGTCTGGGTGGTGGCGTTGCCTCCTGATGGTGTGCTGGAGCTGGCGTGGGAAGACAGACCCTCCCAAGCACGTAGTCGGGCGTGGATGTCTTTGAATCTCGGCCGTTGAGCGGGACCCTCCTGCCAGCACTCAGCCATCAGCATGTACATGCGAGGGGGGCAATCCTCCGGGCAGGGCAGCAGCTGCCTCTTCCGCACCATCTCCATCACTTCCTGGTTGCTGAAACCATAATAGGGCTGCAGGCCGAAGCTGAAGATCTCCCACAGAACCACACCGAAGGCCCAAATGTCAGAGTCTGTTGTGTATTTCCCGTAAATGATGGCTTCTGGTGGCATCCAGCGAATAGGAAGGAGCGTTTTGGGCTGGACTCTGTAATAATCTGAGGTGTAGATTTCTCTTGACAAGCCAAGATCGGAGATCTTGATGTGAAGTTGCTCACCAACCAGGATGTTTCTTGCCGCAAGGTCTTTGTGGACGTAAAAATGGCTTGCGAGGTACTCCATCCCGGCTGCGACTTGAATGGCCAGGTGAAGAAAGTCTCCATGGTCGAGGCTGGACTTGACGGTACCGTCTTCATCGCTACTGCAGCCCACATCTGAGTGGGGAGAGCGCATGATGAGAAACTCGTGGAGGTCCCCTTGAGCTAGGAACTCGAAGAGCATGCAGACGGGCTGCTCCTGGGTCACGACACCCAGCAGACAAACCACATTGGGA